CGGACACAACATCTTTGTTGGTATGTGGTGCTGAGGATCGAACCCGGGCCGCACGCATGCCAGGCGAGCGCGCTACCGCCTGAGCCACATCCCCAGCCCCCCACTGCATTGTTAATGACTTGGTAGATGACCTAGAGAAGTAATATGAGTACTCCATACTTACCTTTACAAAAATTTGGTATCACTGTAATACTGTTTTCTAATCTGATTTTTTTTTTTTGTGTGTGTGTGTGTGTGTGTGTATCAGGGATTGAACCCAGGGACTTAACCACTGAGCCACATCCTCAACCCTTTTTATTTTTTTGAAACAGGGTCTCACTCAGGTGCTTAGGACCTCACTGCATGGCTGAGGCTGGCCTCCAACTTGCAATCCTCCTGCCTCAGGCTCCCAAGCTGCTGGAGTTACAGGTGTGCACCACTGTGCCCAGTTAATTTTCAAATCTATTTTGATATTATCACGTGAACATTTTCGCTCTGCTATTATCCTGCAATGAAGTTTTATTTCCCACGTGGTGGCCCACCTACAGATACCACCCTCCTGAGTGCCCCCCCCACTCCCATGTGATGGCCTGTCATTTCCTGCTTCTCAGGCTCCTGCAGGGTGCCTTGCACATCCTACAGCACAACTCAGCATTCCCTGTGTGGCCCCAAGTGGACCTGGTGTGAGGGCCCCCCAGCAGACCGTCTCCCTTCAGGAGAGGCAGAGCAGCCCCTGCCCCAGCACCTCCACCTGAAGCTGAGCCCCCAGGCCAACCCAGCCTGGGTGAGCTGACCAGGGGACCCACAGACGCACCATGAGTCCTGGAGGGTTTGCTCTGCAGCAAAAGCTGCCCCATGCAGTGAGGGGACCCGGCCTTCAGCCTTCGTGCAGAGAGCTCCATCTAGGCTGGGAGTCAGGCCAGGCCGGGGAGGGCCAGGAAGCACTGAGGGTGCCGCACATCGTGAGCCGCAGTGATACGTCACTGCACACCCTCCTTTGTTAAATCCCAACACTGACTACACCAAGTGCTGGCGAGGATACAGAGCAACAGAAATCCCCGTTCTTTGCTAGTGGGAATGCAAACTGGTGCAGCCGCCTGGAAGATGGTTAGGGGGTCTTCACAGAGCTGAATATTCTCCTACCATAAGAAGCAGCTCCTTAGTATTTACCAGAGATGAATAGAAATGCGTTATCAGACCACAAAAGGACATGGAGGGACTTCACAGTATATTCCTAAGTAGGAGAAGCCAGTCTGTAGAGACCACACACTGTATGATTCCAACATTCTGGAAAAGGCAAAACTGGGGAGATGGCAAAGAAAGCAATGGCTTCAGCCAGGCACTGTGGGTGGAAGCCCAGTGACTCGGGAGGCTGAGGCAGGAGGATTGCGGGTTTGAGGCCAGCCTCTGCAAATTAGTGAGGCTCCGTCTCAAAATAAGTAAATAAATAAAGATGTCTGGAGATGTAACTCAGAGGTAGAGCAATCCCCAG